TGGTCCCATTTTCATGAAATTTTGTATACAAATAGCTTTCGGTAACCACCATGTTTTAGGCTAAAAAAATTTTACTTTTTTTCGGGTAGGTGGACCAGGGACCGGTCTATTCGTAAAAATCTTATTATAGTCCGATTTGCATAAAATTTAGTACGTAAGTAGCTTTTTAGCATATATTAGGATATATGGTCCATTTTTTCCGAGAAGTGGACCAGGGACTGATCTATTCGAAAAAATCGTATTTACGGTCCGATTTGCTTAAAATTCGGTACGTAGGTAGCTTTTTAGCATATATTAGCATATATGATCCATTTTGTCCGAGAAGTGGACCAGGGACCGATCTGTTCGAAGAAATCGTATTTATGGTCCGATTTGCTTAAAATTCGGTACGTAGGTAGCTTTTTGCCTGGATAAGCTTATAGATTCCTGTTTTCCAATTTTCATGCAATTTCGAATATAAATAGCTTTAAGTAACGACCATATCAAGGGGCGAATTCGTCACTAGGCAAGATTTTTTTGCGCCAATCAGAAACAACGGATACTGTCAAAATATAATTATAATATATAATATATCTCAACTAATATATATTTAGAAAGCCGTTTGTTAGTTTTCGCAAGGCTCGAGAGCGGCTGAACCGATTTTTTTGAAACTGCCACCTGCCGCACGTGTCCCAAGGATGGTTTTAGGCTGAAAAAAAACCATATGTAAAGGAGGCGTGGCACTTCCCATACAAACCGAATTTCTCATGCTACATATCTCTGAAAGTGTGCATGGTAGAGTTTTGGAAATTGGTATGGAGATATACGAAATCAATCGCATACCCTTGGAGAAAAATTTTAGCTATTGTAAAAAGGGGTGTGACATCTCCCATACAAACCGAATTTTTCATACTGCTTATCTCTGGAAATTTTTTGGTAGAGTTCTAGAGTTTTGTATGGAGATGTACGAAATAAATCGCATACTCTTGGAGAAAAATTGGAACTATTGGAAAAGGGGGCGTGGCATCTTCCATACAAACCGAATTTTTCATACTGCCTATCTTTGGAAGTGTTCATGGTAGAGTTCTGGAACTTGGTATGGAGATATACGAAATCAATCGCATACTCATGAAGAAAGAGGGCAGCTGTTGGAAAGGGGGGCGTGGCTCCTCCCATATAAATCGAATTTTTATACTGCATATCTCTGAAAGTATTCATGGTACAGTACTGGAACTTCGTATGGAGATATGTATATAGTTGAAATCAAGCCCATACTCATGGAGAAAATTTGGGCTATTTGAAAAGGGGTGTGAGGCCTACAAACCTACCGACCTTTAGCTATCTTTGAATGAATTTTTTTATTCTTCTGTAGGTGTGTTTGTGAGTGAAATCCTCCTAAATGGTTGTACGGATTTTAACGAAACTTTTTGTGTATTTGAGTGGGTCTCTGGATGGTTTAGTTTCACAATTTAATCCGACAGTTGGCGCTGTAGTTGAGTTATTACTAAAAATCTTATTTATGATCCGATTTGGCTAATGTTTTAAATATGTATGCAATACTATTGCAAAAACGTGCTGCCAAGTGGTGCTGAAGTCGAGCTATTACTAAAAATAGCCAAGTGAGAAAAGGGGCCGTGAAGGTCAGATTAAATCGACCTGTTGCACCATTGAGTATATCGAACGCTCCTGCGTTGCAATTGGCCCAATGGATGTGATTTTCCAATATTATTATGCGTTCAAACTTTTAAGGTATTTCGTCTGAAATAAGTATATGTATATTGCATTTCTGTAGAACAATGATGACCCATTTTGAAATTGCCACCTACTATACTGTAAAGCTTCTAGGACATTCACTATAGAACCGGGTCATTGTTGGCGCCAGGGAGTGAAGAGGAAAAAATTTATTTCGCTTTGCGAATAACCGTGCTATGAAATGCCGCACAACTGGAGAGTTTCAAGAACGGATATAACACTTTCTTTAGGTTATTTAAAGCGGCAAATGACCACCAAACCTTAATCTTAGCAGACAAATGTGCCAATGAAAATCGTAAACGTGAATTGTTGGTGAAAATGTTGGACCAAAAAAATTCAATAAAATACATAAAAATTTTGGGCGGGACGAAGTTCGCCGGGTCTGCTAGTACAAATATGTATATTTTAAACGTATGAATGTTTTTAAAGAAAATTGTTTGTACATCACCATCATATAAGTGATTTGTGTTATTTATTATTAGCCTAAACACATTATATTCGTTTTTGGTTTTAATAACCATGTTATACCAACATATAATTTTTAAAACAAAAAATTTTTTAAGCCTATTTCATGAATTTTTTAAAAAAAATTTGCCATTTTAGGCAATTTTTTTTTGCAGAAATGGCTCTTTTCTTTTCAAACAATCTGGACACCCTGGTCAATACTGACCAACATATCACTGGTAACTCTTTACAAGAATTGTCCCTCGATTTTTTTTTTAAACCCGCTTTGTATCGCTGTACATCCATTTAAACACTTCTCTAACAAATAAAATTTGGCATAGGAAACTCTTAGCAGCATCTCAAGAAGTACAGCAGGTTTAATACCAAATTTTAGTTGGTTGGTTCACCTATTGTACCAGAGTTCTAAGTCCATCCGCAAAAAGTGGTACAAGACTTGTAACAAATGGATTTGTCCTGATCACCAGCCTGCGGTGGGCACTCAATGTTACGAAAACTGATAGTTTTTTAAAGAAATATTGGTTTAAGAAGAAAATGTAAAACATTTATCTAAGAAGTAAAATTATTCTTATTTTTTCAGTTACATAACTAAATTATTTATTTTTTCAAATTCGTACTTGCTATGAAAAAATTTAAGTTTGTGATCGTAAACGTAATAGAACTGACTATAATTTTTATCTATAAGTTTCATTTAAATGTTATCTAAAAAAACATTTATTGACATTTTAAAATGGTCACGCGTGCATTGGTGTAAAAAAAGAGCGCGTGCGCTCTAGTGTTTTGTTTTTTCGAGATGTTTCCATGAATATTTCCCAATGTTTTAGTGCTTTTGTAAGCGCCTAAAATTGATTTTTTTGTTTCACCCTGAAGATAAGAAAATTAAAAAAAAAAAAATTAGGCACATTTCTTTTCATTTCTGGCGCCATATTCGATAGCCCATTTTGATTTTTGCTATTTTGACTCCAGATTCCAATTAAGCTATCCCAAAAACTCTTAAATAATATAATAATAAACCAATTTTTTTATTATTTTTTACATAAAATATTTTTTTTAAAGATTTTAGGCACCATATTGGATCGGTCGTTTTGTTTTTTGTTCTTTTGACTTCAGATTAATTTTTGGGTATCAAGTATCACTGTGCGCTGCAAATTATTGTTATACTAACAGTTTAAACTAGTGTTGGGCAGTATCGATACCAAAAGTACTCAGACTCGATTATCAAAAGGATCGATCACACTCGATTTTAAAAGTATCGATACTAAGTACTTCAAAGAACTCAGTACTCATAAAAGAACTCGAAAGTACTCAGTACTCAAAAATACTCTGTTCTCAGGATCGATTCAGTGTACTCAGTATTAAGTGTCGAATAGATACTTAAAAGTACTGAGTGTTATTTACATTTTACGGGTATTCAGAAATGATTGTACTCAATTTGAAGTTTCAATAGTTTTCAAGTACAGTACTACTTTCAATAAAGTGGTGCTAGCTTGTGAGATTTCTACACTAATTCTGAAAAAGGGCGTTTTTGAAAAGTTTTTTGAGATAGGGCGTTTTCGAACTGACTGCCGAGATAGGTAGATCTTCCACTCAGCAGTCGAAATAAGAATATTATAAATTTTTGGAAAATGGGCGTAGCCACGCCCACTTATGTTTACATGTGTATATCTTGGTAATAGCTTCACCAATTTCTTCCGAACTTAGCACAGTTGTTGGCCTTGATACAACATACCAAATGGCCGAAAATTTTTAAAATCGGACAATAACCACGCCCACATCCCAGATAACGGTAATTTAAGGAAATACGAAATAAATCTGTAAATATTGAAGCTAATTTATTCAAAATTGATGCTTGCAACAATTCGTTACAAAGAAATACATTTATGATAAAATTTTGGAAAATGGGCTTGGCATCGCCCACTTATGATCACATATATATATGTATCTCGGTAACCGTTGTTATTGTGTTCCACATAAAAGCAAAACGTTGAAAATTATTGAAATTGGACTAAAATTACGGCCGCTTTTCATATAATAGTAAATTTCAGAAATGCTTTAAACTTCAATATTTCGATATTTAAGGACGCTAATTTACTCAGAATTGATACTAAAAGAAGTAAGATTGTTTGGCATTTTGGAAAATGGGCGTGATATCACCCACATATGACTATATAAGTTTATCTCATTAGGTCTAACTGAACGTTCTATCGAAGATGTTTAGAATAGGGGTAAAACCATCCGGGCTTACCACGTAGCGGTAGTTTTCGGAAAAGTGGAAAACATATATTTAATACTTGCGCCGGGGATTTAATGTTCGGCTCCGCCGGTTTCTTACTTGTTGTTTTTGTATACCTGCTATCAGCTTATATTAATGTTAATGTTAATGTTTGTGATAAAAAAGTCAACATTATCGTTCCAAAGAACGCCCGCTTATAGGAAATAAACAAATTTTTGAATGTTTTGTTACTTTAATGTAAATAATGTAGAATTTGTGAGAGTTTTTGCTCTGTGCGAACCCATATAAAATCTATAAAAAGCAATTTACTAGATATTTGTTGGGCCAAAATTACTGGCATACATTTTCCATGAACATTTTAGCGAACCCGTTTCAATGATATTTAAAATAGTGTTTACCAACCTAGGCTATTTTATTGCGGAAGTCGAGCCTTCTTAGTATTTTTTTTTTCAGCGATTAGTTATATCTTGTGTCAAACAACTTTATGGTTCTATAATATCTACACATCTATGTTGTGTTTGGGGGTTAACAGATTGTAAAAAAATTACATTACAGTAACAAAGCCGTACATAGTTACAAGAGCATGCCGCTAATCCGCCAATCTTGGCCTTCTCGAAGAGATAAGATTGGAAGAAGGCTACCAGAGCGCGTATATAAAAACGACGTTGTAAACTGCAGAGCTATTTATACAAAACAAATTCTAACATGGCAAACAACGTTTACTTGTCAACTATTTTGGTCTTCATCATCGTCGTTAGTGTGAAATCAGACACTGGCACAACGAACACAACTCTACAGCCTGAGCAGCCTGGTGGGCGCATTGTAGGTGGTTACGATGCTGACATATATCAGTTTCCATATCAAGTATCGGTGCAATTGGAAAGACTACATCGTTGTGGCGGTGCCGTATATACCTCAACTATCATCGTCAGTGCGGCCCATTGTGTTGAGCTGGCGGACATGCCGGAGCTGTATGCTGTACGAGCTGGTTCGACGGAGCATGGGAGTGGCGGTGTATATATGCCAGTGCGCCGCATCCTCAGACACGCCCAATTTCAACCACAGTATCAGATCAGCCACGATATAGCTTTGTTGGCTTTAGCTTTTCCGTTGCCATTTGGCATCGGTATACAACCTATACCGCTTGCAACGAGAGCGGATATGACAAACTTGATGAGTACCATATGGTTCGTTAGCGGGTGGGGTGCAACTTTGGAGGGATCGCAAGTAAGAGCGGAACGCTTGCGTTATGTCGCCGTTAAA